CTTGGGGAATTCAAATAACTAGGTCTTTCTCCCCCAGAACTGCTGGCTGGGTTTAAACTAGGTTGATACTAAACTCCCAACTCACTGGCAGGGAGTCAATTCTGACCCAGAGAGGCCCTATAACACAGGGTAGAATTTCGCATGTGGGTTTCCAGGACTGTAACGCTTTACTGGGGTAGAAAACCACATCTTTCTCTCTGGGAGTGGCTGGTGATTTCGAACTGCTGACCTCTACTTTAGCATCCGCATGCATAATAACCACTAGGATGTGAGGGGACAAACCTTATACCCTGTTTCCCCGAAAGTAAGACAGCCCCCCAAAATAAGACCTACTTACAGGTTTGCCTCTCACTGAAATATAAGGCATCCCCCTGAAAATAAGACCTCCCTGAAAATCAGGCCCCCCGAAGCTACCATAACTCTGGACTCTGGATCGTAGCGGTGGGCACCACTATTGGCCGCAGCAAGCCGGAGCAGACAGGAAGTGTGAGGTCTCTTTTAATAAAACAATAAGCAATCAATGTGTACCATATTCTTCTTCATGGAATAATAAGACATCCCCTGAAAATAAGACCTAGCGCATCTTTGAAAGCAAAAATTAATATAAGATACTTGTCTTATTTTGGGAAACAGGATAGAGTTATCATGAGTCAAAGCCAGCTCAACAGTAACTAACCACAACAAAAACAACAGCGAGCCTTATAAAGTTACTGAAATCTACAGAATAGAAAGGCGTTTGAATGTGAAACGCTGACTAGGTTTCCGTGAACAAAAGAAACAAAAGTATTTGGTTCAAAATGTGCGCCTGAGTGACGACGTTAGGTGGCTGGTTCTTGCTGACCATTTCAGATGGGAGAAAGAAAAGATTGCTTTAAAATATCCGGTGTGCCTAGAGCTAGTCTGTGTGATTATATTTTGAAGTGATCCCATAAGCAACCCACGTTACAGCGCGGGAGTAAGGGAGTCCTCCTACCTCACTAAGCCAGGGGCTGAATACTGTGCGTAGGAGGAGTAAGAGGAGGAGAAGGGGGAAGAGAGATTTCAGAGCTCCTGCTCTGACTCAGCCACATAGTAGTTTTCAGGCCTTGATCAAATCATACCTTCCCTGCACCTGAGAATCCCTAACTATGCTGGGAAGCTAAGAATACCTACCCCGCAGAGCTATCATAAAATCTAAGTAAAAATACACAAAACATGTGGTACATAAATAGTTTAGTTCCTCGCTCTGTGAAACAGCATGGCTCCCTTTTAGGCCAGGAACCATCTCCTCCTCTGATGGGTAGCTCCAGTATATCTAGCCAGAGAGGAGTCTGTGATTTTCATTATTTGGAATTCTCTTGTTTACAGTCGATATTTTAAAAAAAGATTGAGTTTTCCTAACAAATGTTAATGGTACATATTTAATCATTTATACCTAATCTTATCATAAAAGTTCATAAAAATGTTAGTTCCAAGAAAAATGCATATGTTTTATTTGTGAGGGGGGAAACTTACTAAAGAAACAAAGACAAATAGCGAAGAATGTCCACAGCAGGGCACCAAGAAAAAGTCATGAAGGCTTACCTGTGTATTGATATGGTTTGCCAAAATTTCAAAAATATGCTAAAAACAATCAACAACCAACCAAAAACCTGTTCTGAACAGATTGCGACTCATTAGCACAATCCTGTAGGACAGAGGAGAAACGAGAGCCGGCTGCCTTTTCGTTCTCCCAGAAAGCAGTTGATGGGTTTCAACTGCTGACTTTTCAGGTAGTGGCGAGTGTTTGAACCACTGTGCCTACAGGTGACCTTAAACATATAAGTGGGAGGTAGACGATGATTTTGAAATCTTTGAAACCAACTAGACTGAAAGAATTGCTGAAAGGGTGTCACGATGTGCCATTAAGTTCTAAAGTTTCACCTCTAGGGTTGTGAAGCATGACATCGATCCCTACAAGCTGAATGTGGTCCTAAATTATGTATGTGCCTGTGTGCATATCAAGTGTCTGTTTTATTGCCATTGTCCACATGTTTTAAATAATTCATCAGTGTTGACTCTTTGGTCTGGTTATATCCAGAAAATTGCATTTGAAGGCTAAATAATTATGCATGTGTATTTCTTACAATGTTTTAAACCACTGCAAAAGAACGAGAAAGAGAGAGGGGGAAGAGAGAAAGAAGCCCACATGGCTATATTACCATCAGCCCTGCAAAGCTGCTGATAAGCAAAACCTTGTACGTTTCATGAATTGCCAGCTCGATGACCAGCCAGGTTTGGAATTCTGGAAGCATTATCCCACAAGATAAATGGACGAGTCAAAAATAACACAGCTTGATTTTCAGATACCAGGTGGAGGTAGCAGTACAATCTGGGGGGACATCATGCTGTGATTTATGAGAGTAGTCAGTTGGTTTGGCAGTGGTTTGAGGCAATAGATCTGGAACCATGGAGGTACACTGTGACAGACCTTCCCATTCTGCCCCTGCCTTGTCCCACACTTGTAATACACGGAGGATCTTGAGGTATTATCTTAAAAGCCAAAAGCTATATTAAAAAAAATTTTTTTTTAATTAAAAGTTGCTAGCAGGCACTAACCTGGGTATCATGACTCTTTTCAGGTAGTAGGTGTAACCTTGAAGAAAAAGTGGCACTGTCTCCAAAAAAGTGACCTGACCCTGGCTTTGGTGGGTTTTTCTGCAAGAAATAAAAAGCACCGCATGTATTTCTTCTACATCCTTTCTAGCTGACCACTGCTTTGTTCTAGAGTTCAGCATGAAAGGACTAATTTTTTGTTTCGTTTTTGTCTTGGTTTTAGTGAAATGGCATGTCCGTTGCTAATTTCTAGCTCTTCTAGTTGCACCTCTAAAAACTATGTGTAGCTTATGGATTGGTAGCATTTCAAATCAATGATACATTGAAAAATTGGCCTGCAGTCTTTGAGATGCTTATCAATTGATATTAGTGTTTCGTAACCCAAGATCAGAATTTGAATGTTTTCTTTTTTTTTTAATTATACCTTATAACATTAGATGTCTTCTTTTAAATATATTAGGAATTTAAATACAAGCATGCCACTTTGTTTATTGCTATCTTATTAGAACTTCTTGGAGCATGGAAAAAGTTCCTCACGGATGATTTTGCTCTTTTGAAAAACAATCAGCTGAGAGAGTGTTATAAAATATATTTCGTCTGTAAATGAGTGTAACTTGTAAAGGTGGACTGAGCTTATAGTATGGAATATGTCTCTAAATAATTTTTGCAATTTGAAAAAATCAAGTTAAATAGTGTAAAAATACTGTAATACATCTTTCCCCTAAGTGCAGAATTATTATAAGCATCTCTATTTTAGGAAGTTCACACTGCTTCATTAAAGAAGAAACCTGGGATCATTATCCACCCCATTTGTTAGGCAGTGACTCATTAAGCTTCCAGAAGCCAGTCAAACCTACAGGTTGTGTCCATTTAACCCTTTCAGAACACATATGAAAATTATTATTATGTATGTGGTAAAAAAAATCTCTGGTGTTTGATATTTCATCCCGGAAATAACTACAGTGTCATTCAATAATGCTAGTTCTTAAATCAAAACAAACCAAAGACACGAACTGTCAGCCCAGTAAAGATTTTCACACATTTGAACACCTAGTAACTAGATGGAAAGCTTTTCTCTGCTCTCACAAATAAAAGCTGTCACTGATTATATTTTAGAAAGGCAACACCTGAGAAAATGAACAATGTTTTCCTTCCTAGTGTAAACCTTCTGAATATTTAAAGCCCTGTGCCAGCCCAGGACAATGATGTAATTCCTTTTTTTTTTTTTTTTATTGCATAGGAACTACCAAGATTCTTTCACCTCTGGAACTGATCATGAGCCTAGTTCCTAATTCCCTTTTCAGACACTGGACCACATATGTCCGTTTGGGGTATTTTTGTCTATGATATTTCTGTATATGGCATTTGCTTTTCAAGTCGATTTACAACACAAATATTCATGTGTGCTCTTTGAATAAGATTATTTTCTCTAGGGAATCTCTGCCCAGAGACCTGAGAAAGCAGAGTTCTTTTTGTTTGGAAATTATTTAAAGGTTATTTAATTTTTACATAGTATGAGCTGCTTCTCGTTGGACTTAGAAGGTCCTATTTGTTTTGGGTTGTTTTGTTTCCATTATGCCTTACATACTCTCAGAACCAATATTCTGGTAAATGCCAGATGATAGAAAACCAGGCCGCCCCTCTAGCCTCCATAATTCTATTGTATAAGACAAGCAATGCGGGATTAATATTTATCTTGCATCTTGATTATTAATTCTCCAATACTTAGACCTGATTTATGAGATTCTCCAAAAAAACATTTCTGTGATCCAATTAAAATTGGGGGGAGGGGCTCAAAACTAAGAAAAAATTGTAACTCTTTTCCTCTTCTTCACCAAGATCATACTACTGTATCTCCAAAATATCAATTGGGTGGTTCCTGTGATATCAGGCCACCTGAAACTTCTTAGCGCTTGACCCTGGGTTGACTTTTTTTGTTCCCAGGCCTCTCAAAAATGACAAAGACTACAGAGGTCCCTCAACAGATGCCTTTTGGGGGATGCAAACCCTGAGCCTAACCCCAACTATTCCTCAGCCCTAGATTTCCCACTGTCATTCCCATTATTTAAGGATGATACAGTTTATAAATGAATTTAATAGGCGATCCAGAATTTTAAATGGATACTACAAACATGTGGTTCACGTCCTGAAAATTGCTTTCAAATATATGATACACATAAAATACTATGTTAAAATTAAATACAATATGTCAGCTGTAAAGGTGAAAAATTAGCTAACTTAAGTTCCGAAATGATCTTTTTTCAGACTGTGTGTTTTCTCCTCAGCCAAAAGCCTCAAGATTCACTTCCAGCAGCCTACCTCTTCACTAATGTTGGATTGCGCTTTAAGCATTCGAGTATCTTGTAATAAATAATAAGTTAAAAGATTTCTCCTGACACAAGTCATTGTTGATTTCACTGTTATAGGGAAAAGGCTCTAGGGCGGCAGATAAGGCTGTTGCCATGGTGATGAAGGAGCTACCGAGGGAGGAGTCTGCTGAAGAAAAGCCCCTCCTTACTATGGCATCACAGGTGGGCAGACCCATAGGGTTACTGTAGGAAGCTGACATATGTTAATGTATCAGACATTATGATTGCTAACTAGAAAACAAAAAACATTAACTCTTGAACCAATTTTTTTAAAGACAGTTTCACTGAAACAATTGTGCAAATATAAAAGTAAAACCAAAATTGATAAAAAAGGAAAATTCCATCATTTAGTTACATATTTGCGAATATTAATTTCCATTATTCAACTTTAGCTTTAAAAAGAGAGAAAAAATGTTCACGCAAGGAAAATATGCTGCTTCTTTATAAAGGAGTCTTGATTACAACATTGGGAAAGAAATAATAATTAACTAATGGTATTTGAATAACCATCAAAAATTCAAATTCATATGAATAAATACAAAGTATATTGTATACATATGTCAGTTTACCAGTAGAATATCTAAATTTTCTTCAATGTTAAATATATCTATGTTGTGACTATGCATACTACATATTTGTCTATACATTTTTATGTGGATAGCCAATTTACAGGAATGAGCCAGAAGGCCATGAGTCCTCATGCAGAGAATGGCATTTGTGACCTCTTGGTCACCTTAACAACAACAAAAATAGTGTTTCCATTATAAGCACACGAGGGCCGTTTTCAGCATTTATTATAGCACAGGAAAAAAGTTTGCATTTGTGTGCAAAGACACGCTGAGACTGGAATGCCTTCTGTCTTCAGGAACTTTTGAAACACCCTGTAAAATCCACATAAATATGTATAATGTACTCATCACCACTCTGTGGATCTATCAGCCTTAAATCCTTAAATGAAAAATATTTTTACTTGCATTTATCTTGTCATTTAGATTAGATTGTTATTTTAAACATTTCATTTGTTTCCCCTAATGCAATGGTAAATGCAGCGATTCATTCCGATTATATGAACATGCCTAGAATTAGAAAAATGTCCATTTACAGTCCTCAGGAAGGCATTTATATCACGAGTTAAATTATGGCAACTTATTTTTAGACTATCACCCGAGCATATCTCCAGCTGCCACTAACATGTGCCGCTTTATTTTATTCTAAACACTGTGTTGTAAGTAATGAAAAGTATAACAACATAGCACATCAAAATCAAGTCATAAAAATATATTAAAAATTCACAGGACTTTGGGCTAAATTTGACGTTTTCAGTTTTTTCACCCATAAAAAAAGCATGCTTCTTTCCAGGGACATATAACCCACTGCTATCAAGTCAATTCTGACTCCTAGCGACCATATCGGACAGAGTAGAACTGCCCCTGTGGTTTTCTGAGACTGTCAATCTTCACAGGGGCAGAAAGCCTCGTCTTTCTCCTGAGGAGCAGCTGGTGGTTTGGAACTGCTGATCTTGTGGTTAGCAGCCCAGTGTGTAGCCCACAACGCCACCAGGGTTCCTTAATGGCATATAGTAATAAGTTATAATAAGTTTACCTGATAGTTACCAAGTTCTCCATTCTTTACTTCGTTTGTATAGGAAACTATAGTGTTCTACTGGGGATCCCTTGCCTATCACAGACAGATCTTTCGAGAATCCTTGTCCAAAGTATTCAGCCCTAAGTTCCTCAAGGGCACACGGCCCAAGAGGTGAGGCCTGTGTGGAGTTCTCTGCCAAAGACAAAGTGACAGAAATCAGGAGAGACGACCTATCTGCATTTGAGATTGGCACAGCTCTGCTGCAGCAGATGGTCCCAGGGCATCGTCATTTAGGATAAGTGCCAACTCCCCAGATTCCTTTTTTCCCAAAGCCATGCATTGCTATGTGCTTTCCAGAAATCCTTTTTAAATCTCAAAATCACCAGTAAGCCTAACTTTAAAATTCCATTCAAAATACTACTTTTGACTTTGTAATGTAGAAAATAAATTGTGCTGATTATCATTTGCTCATATTCAGAACATTTGTGTGCACCAAGTTCCCTCTTTAATCTCTGTCTGATGTTGCATTGACTGTCTCTGAGGTACTGACTGGTTACAGTTTTACTGCATGAAGATTAGATAATGCTTTCTTTGATGCATTCTATTCTTGTTGCATCCTGGCCAGTTTATGAATCAGCCAGCAGAGAGTTCTGATTCATAAAAGTTTTAATGCACCTCTTTCATTGATAATTTCATGAAATTGATTCAGTGACAGCTGTGATAGTTATTTCTCAGTCCAATGAAGTTGTCCTAGTTATATACTTTTTTCACTGTACACAAGTGGCTTCTTCCCCACTCTGCACCAGTGGCGTGCACAAGCCAAAAAGAAGCAGCGTGACCTGAAAAAGTGAGTACGTGCCGCGGGGACCCGCAGCATCCGGTCTGGCTACCATCCCACCTTCTTACTCGTTATCCGTGTGAACGTGTTAGTGTCTTGAAACATGTGTGTCCCGGTGTCTCCTGTAAAGCCACTTATGACATAGTGCTACATGCTGCTGAATACATCGACTCATCTTCATCAGTGGTTTGTCAGTGCCAGCTGGTCCTGTCATGAGTTCCCAATGTGTCGGAAGCTAATGAGTGTCCGCTCAGTAATGTCTGGGACAATCGTGTAGATCGAATGCAGAGTTAATTGCTGAAACACTGAGCCCTTAGCATGTGCAGTTCCTTCAACAGATTGTAAATTCAGATAGTTCTAGATTGAGGCAGTCTTTGAATGATGTGATTACAGCCACTGCAGGGATTTAGTCATAACCCAGTGAAGCAGTCCTTACTACCTTGAAGACAAGCAGAAGAGTTGGCCAATGAGAAAACTCAGATATTGCTGAGCCCAAGTGGATCTTCTTGGTCAGAGTGATTAGTTCGATGATAACAATATGTCAGGTGGAAGCCCAGGTTGATACAGTCCTCGACTAACACAAAAACCAAGTAGTAACTAAACAGGTGTACACTGATCAAAGGTTTAATAAAGGGACAATAGGTCGATGTTCAAGTCCTTGAGGGAGAAAAAAGTTCCTCAAGACCTGGGCCTTCCAATACAGTAGCCACTAGCCATGTGTGGCTATTGAGCTCTCTACAGCTACTCTAAATTGAAGTAAGACTTAGTATCTCCCCCCCAAAGTGAATGACTTTATTAGTAATTTTATATCAATTATACATTGAGATAATATTCAAATCCATTAGCTTTAATTAAATTATTAAAATTAATTTCACTTTTTAAAAACTTTTTAATGTGGCTATTAGAAATGTTAAGATTACGAAGTTCCCCCTATTTCTATTAAACAGTGTGCTGCCCTAAGAAGCTGTAACACTATAAACAAATCCAATTTGAAGATGGAATGAAAATCTATGTGCCAACATTTGATTGTATCTTATAAACCTTATAGTATTCTTTGTAAAAATGAAATAATTTTAGAGAATATAGCTCTTTCATAAGGAACATTTAAAATTTCATTTTAGCCACATCCTGGGTGATTTTTAAGCAAGATATGTCCCACACCTTTTTGTCTATAGAGAGCAGCATCTTAAGCCACGTGCTCCAGGTCTTCTTGTGAAGGGACTTATTTCCCATCTCCAAAAAAGATTCAGCCTTTGTTTTACAAGCTGTCTGTCTCCATCCTTTGGATCTTGATATTGCATTAATTTTTTGTGTCTAGAAAACATTATTTTAAAGAGTAATAATGTCCTTGGTTGAAGGTACATTATCAAGGTTATACTGTTAGGGTTTCCGTTACCAACTTTACATAAGTGTTTCATGACATGCTCCTCCCTGTTGTAGTGTTAGTATTACCCACGCTATCAATAGTAAGCTCTTTTCATTTATCTGTGAAAAGGTTCACACTTTATGCCTTATAAGACCTGTCAAGAAAATACTGGTTGACATTAGGTCAAGCCAGAGAGTTGGAAGCTATCATCATGTGGATATCTCCTAGAAGATCCATAGAGAGAAAATGGGTGGAGAGGGAACTATTATTACTATTAGTTCATAGGAAATTAATTCTATATATTTTCAGAGTTATCATGACAAAACTAAAAGAATGAATATTTAACAGATGCATGCTCATGATGTAGTTCTCTTATTTATTTCAATAGTTTGAGTGAGTTTAACAGAATTCTTATATAACTAATGTAATTCTTTCACAATATAATCATGATTCCCATGTGAATTGCACAAAGTTCTAAATTTGTGCAGGACTAATAAAGCCATTAACAAATAGTTTAACTATAACAGTATACATGAAAACTTATTTAGCAAATGATATTTGAAAGAAAATGTCACAAATTGTAAGAAACAAAGATATATATTGATATTAAAAGCATATTTGTGTTTTTATACATATAGGGACAAAAATATTAGAAAATTCCTATTATTTTAATGATGTAAAATGACATGGTATTTTATTACAAAATTTTAATTGACATTAAAAATGTGAATGGTTATAATCTATTTTAATCTATTGGCTTCAATGTCTTAACTTCTTACATTCATCTCAAAGTAATACAATATTTTAAAATAAAAGCAATATTTTACACTAAAATCACAGTTCAAGATCATCGATCTGAATTGTAAAATTGTGGAACATTGGTACTTATTCTTTATAGACCTTGTTTTTACATCTAAAGTATACTTAGGTTTGGAATTCTTGGTGATATTAGTTATTATCACAAACCTTTAGTTCTATATTTCTTAATGAAACACCCAAACAATATTTCTTTAAGAGTAAATAAACTATTTAAATAACAAGACAATAATTGTAAACATTCACAGGAATCTAAGTGGCAGGTTGAATGTAAAACCAAAATATACTCCTTCATCTTGGTGAAATTGTTGTTCCCTTAGTGTAGGCCATGAAATAATTTAATATTGAAAAATTTTTAAATGTTTAAGTTAAACTAAAACTAATGTATGCCCAGACAAGATTTTAAGGAAGAAAATTATCTGTTAGAGCTAGGCAGTGGAATATGAAATTGTTCAACACGAAACAGTGTTGGTATAAATTAAAAACAATTTTGATCATGTGATGATTAATCTTAACTACATCAACTAATGCGTGTAAGTCATAAGTCAATTGAAGGTATTTGGAATATTTTATTCACTATTATGATTACCAGGAAGGATAAAGATTCAGTAATATCTTGCATACTGATTGAGTAAGAAGGCCATGAAAGCAAGCCCTCTCCAATCTTCTTACTTCTGATATATTTCTTTTCGTTGCACTGCTCATTGACCACGTAAGGATTTTCATTCAAAATCTCAATATTGGACTTCACCAACTTAAAATCCCCGAGGGCTAGTGGGGTTATAACTTGAAGCATCACAGGCTCAGTTTGCACCGGCTTGTGGCCTTCTTTTTAGGTGCTGGCTGGTGTGGGGCTCACCTGGGCCTTTCTTTCAATTTGCCTCAGGTGTTCGCTCTTTGGCATCATGGTTTCTTGGTAGAATTCTAGATACTTTTCCATTTGGAAATGTTCCTTTTAGGTTCCATCAGGTTTCCAAACATTTAAGAGATGTGGCATGGAGAGAGAGAAATCAAGTCAGATGTGTAATTGAAAGACTACCGGGAAATATTTTGAAGATCACTCACCTCTTTATAAATTAATCAAACCCAGATTCAAATTGAAGATGTCCATAGAATCACTCTTGTACAGTTCACCATTCAATGAGACTGTGTAAAACCAGTCTACAGTTTTAAATTGTTATCAAGGATACGAAGTTAATTGAGTGAGATCGCTACCCTCGAGGTGGTCAAAGTTGAGGGCGGAGTAAATCGGGTAAGACCAACGTTACCGTACTAGCTGCAGGCTGAAACCAAGAAGGCACTCACTCTCTGGTGCTGATGCAACTGTGGAACTGAGTCTTGAAGGAGAAATAAGGATCTGTCACTGTCAGAGGACTTTTGAGCTGATCCAAATATTGAGAAGAGGCCAGAGGAAGCTTTTTAAAATGCAGACAAGTGGAAACAAAGGCCTAACAATCAGTGGCAAGTGTCATTTAATGAAAGGTGTCATGATCTTCTGATTGGGCCAAAATTTTAATCATTCCAGTTCACTTACAGCAGACAATGGACTCACCTTGTTTCATTTTTGTAAAGTTATGATATCCTCAGCCCAAAGGATAGACTAAGGGAAGTGCATACAGCACTTTCAAACTGATGAAAGTAATCTACGAGAAAGTGGATAAGCCTTATTCTACCAATAAATGGAGCGGAGGTAGACATGAAGTGTCAGGGGACTACCAAAAGCATTCAGTTTGAAGTTTGCCTTGTTACTCCCTGAACTAAAAGAGTTATTTATTTTTCAAGACACCATAGAAAAACCATGAACTTTTTGGAAACTGAGGCGGGCCATAGTAAAAAAACTATTTTCAACCTGTAGGAATAAAAAGAAAAATGGCATAGAATATGAAGAAAATAATGTTGCTAGATTCGTCTACCTGAGACACAGTTCAAATGGGAGCGTATGAGACCAAGATTGTTGTCTTCCGTTTCTGTCAAGCCAGTGCCCCATTGGGTATCCATTGACTGAACACCTTTTATTGTTCTAGGTTGGGAGGAATTATGATGATTAAGACACATCATTTGACCTCAGAGCTGAGAGGAAATATTTGTATATTGTTTCATCTTCTCTGTCTCCATCAAAACTGAAAGCTTTGCCGTTTCCAACATGGCTTTTCAGGCTGTCCGTAGTCGAGCACTTCATCTTCTTCACCCCTTAGCCCTGTCCGTATCCCCCACCTCAATGTCAGAGCATTTCTGACAGCCAACCTGGGTTCCAACAGGGGTGGGTGAGCCGGCAGTCTTCCTCTTTTACTTCTTTTTGTGGCAGGAAGTCCCAGAAAAAGCTTCATTTTAGGAACTAGGCAGCCATAACAACTCCTTCAGACTACGTGTGTACTGGTCAAAAAGGAGACACGGAGTCAACAAGACAGCCTTGGGAGAACCCTGGAGAGCCTTAGACCGGTGTCTATGGGGTTGGCATCTCTTTCAGTTGACATTTCATTCCTCTCTTGCTGAAAAAATCTGATAGCACTGTAGGTGCTTTCTTGACTAAGGCAGTCTGAAGTTCGAATGAGGAAAGAGGCTCCTAAAATCATCCTACTGCTTTTAATAAGCAGAGTTGCCTAAAGGTATAAGATCTCTCAAATGATTGTGTCTTTTCCTATATTTTTTTCCATTGAGACATTTATATGGACAAAGGTTGTAATTTCTGGAATTCCTTTATCAAATTTAGACTCTAGTTTTTCAGAGTTTACAACGAAAAGAACTTACAGAAATCTGATACCCTGAACAATGATCTTTTGAACTTACAGGTAACTTAGGTTACATGCATTCACACTTGTGATTTAGCAGTATATTACTAGTCTCTTTGTTAACAAAGGAATTTAATTCTTCAAAATAAAGAGTTCAAGATAATTTCCATGGACTAAAGTACAATTTATTTAATAATTGATATCTATCAATAGCACATCTAAAAGTATTTAGTTCTTCTTATCTGTTAATAAGATTGGGCTTTCTTTTCATAGAGATATGATTATCAAAGACATAGTCTTGACATGTATATTCATATTTTTAAAAGTCCCAGTTCTATTGGTTGTGTTTAATCTTTGCACATCATACACCTAAGCAAAAGGGGCAATAAGATTTTGAACCAGAGCCAGGAGTCAGATTGCTATACTTGATAAATGCAAACCTATTGCAATAAGGTCAGAGAAGCTAGGAGGGTGCCATACTTGATTGTGGCCCTCATTATCCATGAATGTTTTAGCAAAAATGACTTAGATCTCAAGGATAGCCACAGGATGTCACAGCCTGAATGTGAGCGTGGTTTGCCAAATGAGGAGTTGGGGTTACTGCGTGCAACACATGTAATTCAATAGTTAAATTCTACCAGCCAATAGACATTGAAGTGGATGTGGTTTGGAAACTGCTATATATGCAGAGTTTATATATGAACCAAATATCAATGAGTTCCGGGAACACTAATCTCTTACATAGTACTTGCCTATTTCAGAATAGCTCCAAGAATCATTGAGTTTAGCCACGTCTTCATTGTCTAGTATATTCTGTTCTGTACCAGTGCATTCAACTCATGTTCAGATCATAAAATTGAATTTTATGCTAGAAAATACTACAAATGTCTCCTCGATTCAAATAGACTATTGTATCTACAAAAATTCAAATGTGTTTTATCTCAGAAACCTGGGAGGCTCATAGTATGTAACATTCGAAATGTCTCAATACTTGTAGGATGAGTGATCTACAAGAATGTGAGAATTCAGTCAGCAAAGACCTGGATTCAGTTCCACTTATGGTTCAAAGAACAGGCTAGGAAAAAGTAAAAAGGTTAAGATCACAATAGACTTTGGATACCTTGATTTCTAGAGAAACATGTGCCCCTGAAAATATAGAAATACAGTAGACACCGAAACTTAAAATAATTAAAGAAATGCTTATCACTGTGACCCGAGCACCCAGGCAAAAAGAACTTTTCCAAAGTGAATCCCTTGATCTCATCCACAAGTGAATATGTATGCGAATCCAATCGCCAACTTTATGTCAAAATCTTAAACTACGGTGGGAAGCTGAGCTTTGCCATGTGTATAGAGCCTGGGTATGTCAGACTACCGGTGACCAGTCCCAAATGGCCACTAACTGCTTCCATATAGTTCCCTCAGAGATAATACAATTGCATTTTTGTTCTCATATTTACAACTATTTGAGATCCCTTGGCATCGTCCGTAATCTCTAAGCTATAAAACCACTGCCTCGGTGAAACAATGGCATGGAAGAGAGTGGAGTCATAGAAAATACCTGGGTTTGGCAAGACTCAAAAGCACTTTGCTTGTTATTTTATGGGTCTTAAAATACAGCATTTCAAATTATTATGAGGAAAAGTAAGGTTGCACCTCTGTATGTCAGTTGAGCTTTTTAGGAAGGAGATCAGGACAGTGTGTATTCATAGACCTCTATTGGTCTGTGTGCTTACAGCACATGCCCGCTGACTGCCCAGTGCAAACCAAAACATGTTTAAAAGGCAATATTCCAAGTAACAATTTTTAAATCTAGACCTTTTTAGGTACATCTATTTCTTCTTAAGCACAATTAGGAAACCCGATAACAATGCTTATTTTGATGTAAGCGAATATAAAACCTCCCTCTCAAACTAAGACAGTTAATTTCAGGATTAACCGCTTTGTGTAACATGAGGTGGGTCCTTCCTTTAACTCTAAGATGGATTTTGAGCAAGTCCAGAAGTATAAAATAACAAGTCGGAGACCAACTAATTTTCAAACTGAAAGATGTCAACTTAGAGACCAAGCCAATGGGAAAATATAATTAAAATTACAGGAACCTCCTTTACACATAGAGTTCCATAGATACAGCTCCTGGATACCTGGATACATACCCTAAACGTTTCTATTCTCCCAAGATAATATTTGTCACGCAGTACAACATTATTACAAGGAAATGTTCAGATTGCGCATCTGTAGTCCATTGAGCTTTTTAGGAGGGAGATCCGGACAGTGTTTATTCATATGCCTAGACCGATCTGTGTGCACATGGCACTGCCGGGCCAGTGCAGACTAAAGCATGTCAGCTCAGAAATGCGAAGCCACTGTTCCCGTCTCAGTCAGAGCTTTATGTCCAAGTAGGTGTGGGACAGCCTCCCAGCAACGAGGACTCAATAGGTGCCTTTTCCCACATATACTGACAGTAGAGCCTAATTCTAAGACACCTGTAGTCATGGGGGAAGCGAAAGCTTGAGCTTTGAAACGGAAGCTGGCTGCATCCAACCTTGTGGATAGTGCTAAAAGGCTCATTCCCCATATTTTTGTTCCATTTGGTTTCTTTTCTTTCTTGCCCCACACCCTAATGTTCATTTAATTTTTCCCCCTTTAAAAAAAAAGTGTATGCTCTTCTTCTTTTGTTGCAAGGCTGCATTTTAATTCATCTGATTCTGCAGTGTAACAAAAGGCCTTTGACACCTGTGTTCATTTGTCCTCAGCTGGTGAACGAGCAACAGGAAAGCAGACCCCTCCTGAGTCCCTCCATCGATGACTTTCTCTGTGAAACCAAATCGGAGGCAATAGCGAGGCCAGTAACATCCAACACAGCCGGTAATTCTTTCCCTTCTAACTGTTCCTCGAGTCAACGAACGTTCATGCTAGTAAGATTTCCATGTGTGTCCCACCGTGCATTTTCAGTGGGGAATCCCGTTTGCCACCAGATGAAACTGGTCATCAGGAACTTTCCAGCAAGGACAGATGCAGCCCGGTTCATCAGCTAGAAAGCTGCAGTGAGTCTGAGCGAGGCTGTTTTCTTGGATGAGAATCTACCACGATTAGCACTGTCTCATCTTTGGAGGCATTATTCGCATACTTCCTTCTGCACTTCTCAAGTCACATATCATTGACAACTGGGTACCATGCGTCTCTTTCAGAGTTAGGAGTTTGAAGTTCTTGCAGGTAGCCAGGTTATTTCTGGAACTGTTTTGGCGTGAACAAGCATGCAGTTACATAAAAATGTGAACAATCCTTTCAAAGTAGATTAGCATGGTTAACTGAAATGTCTGAGACCCTTTGTCATGGGTAGCTGTCACAAAGTCTGCCCCTGACTCATGGCAACTCCAAACACAGAGATCCATAGGCCATTGTGACCCATAGGGTTGTCACATGGACTGATTTTTTTTTTTTGCAGCATGATCACCAGACCTTTCTTCCTACTTCACCTTAATCTAGATGAAACTGGTTCAGCATCATAGTAACATTAACGCCTTCACTGACAGATGATTGGTGGCTGTAATGAGGTCGAATGACCAGGAATCAAATCGAGGCCTCTCACATAGAACACTAAGAGCCTACCACTGAACCGCAACTACCTCCAGCCACTCAGCCCCTCACTCCCTGACCTTGAAACCAACCCAACCAACCTCCCTGCTCACCGGCCTGGATTAGATTCCAAGTCATAGCCACCCTAGAGGGCAGAGGAGAACTCCCCTGTGGGATTTCTGAGGCTTTAAGCCCGATGCTTCATCTTTCTCTGAGGGGACGGCTGTTGTGGTTTGAACCACTGTCCTTTCAGTTAGCAGCCCAAAACTTAGCCGAATGCTGCACCAAGCCCCTTCCCCAACACCTAGGGTTGAGGGTAAGGCCAGGTTCATGTTCAGTCTTGCAAATGTGTAACTTGCCCCCTCTTACAATAATATATTTGCACACTCTTGAATTAAGCATGGGCAAGTCGTAAATCATCCGGCTCAGTGCCTGACACCTACAGGCACTCAATAAATACCCATCTAATGCCACTGAAGCTTACCCGTCTCAGAAGCCACCTTTTACGTCGGTCAAGTCAGAATGAAAATCTGACGTCATCAGTCAAAGGAGAGGGCTTTCCTGGGTGTGTAGGACGGTGTTTCACAGAAAAGAAAGAAGAGAATGATCACATACTGCCTCATTAAATTTACTTCATTTCGCCACTGTGGCCTCAGCTGGCTCTTCACTATACTTGTAAGTGAAGAAAATTATAGGAGAATGAAAAGGCCATCTTTTTTTTCAGTTTTCAAAAATGCTAAAAATTACAACTATGAGACTGACTAACACGTGGTAGAGACACTGTGCGTGAGTGTCATCTATAAGCTCCGGGGTCAATTTTCAGGAGGCCATTCCCCAGCTCGGCCACTGATCAGCTCTGTGTCCCTGGACAACCTGTTTAAGCCTCAGTTTCCTTACATATCAAACAACAGGAAGATCAGTATCTCAGACAGGAGTCCCTCCAAACACCAAACTCACTGCCATCGAATCCATTCTGACTCATAGCGACCCAGTAGGACAGGGTAGAATTTCCCCTGGGAGTCTTCAAGACTGTGACTCTACAGAAGGAGAAAATCCAGTCTTTCTCCCGTGGAGCTGGCTGGTGGTTTGGAACTGTTGACCTTGAGGTTAGCAGCCCAAGGTGTAACCACTACCCTACAAGGGCTCCTTAAAGGAATCTCTGGGTGGTGCAAAAGATGAAGCTCTTGTTGACTGCTTTAGTTATCTAATGCAGCTAAAACAAAAACACCATACTTCAAACACATCTATTCTCTCCGTTTAGGAGTGGAAGTTTTCTGTATGTAGAGCTGTTGTTGCCTATTTGAGGCACCCTGGTGGGGTAGTAGGTTACACTGAGCTGCTAACCTCAAGGTGGACAGTTCAAAATCACCAGCCGCTCCACAGGAGAAAGATGGAGCTTTCTACTCCCATAAAGATTCACAATCTCAGAAACCCACAGGGTCAGTTCTACTCTGTCCTGTAGGGTTGGGTTGCTGTGGGTCAGAACGTACTCGATGGCTGTGAGTTTATTTTGTTGTCAATTTCATCTTTATAGATAATTCTTTGAAGGTGTAATGATCAAGGCAAACCTTTATTCAGTGAGTCAAATTATTACTTAGTTTAAAGATGACTTCATGGGGCAGTTGCAAGATCCATAAGTTCTTTCACTCTCAATTCATCCAGTAGTCTGGTTTCCTATAAAGAATCTTTTCAAATGATGGTTTTTTTCTATGTTAGGTGAGAATTGACACAGCAGATTAGATTCTGTTTTCAACACCCTTAGACCATGTCCATGTGCCTCACCATCAGGGTTCCCCTGGATCTAGTAGCGTCACAGGGCCTGGACACACTCCACATCCAGCAGTTCTTCCTTGGTCGTAGTAGATCCCTCTCTTGATGCTCACTTCTCTCTCCTTTTATCTCATGTCAAATAAAAGGTGTTGCAGGCCATGTGCTACAAGAAACGCCCCTTCCATCAGATCAGGGCTGAGACAGAGACGACGAGTGTTCATCCCACCCTTACTCCCCTTATTAGTTATCACATCAGCTCAACGTGGAGGGTCATCGCATACATGCCAATATTCCATCTTTGCATAACTCATGGCCCAGCCAGGTTGACACACATTTGAGATGGACACAGTTCAACCCATGACAACCACTAATGTGGCTTGTAGCCATCCAGAGAGGCATGGAAGACAGGCCTGGTGATCTCTTCCCAAAAGGTCACAGCTTTTTGAGCCCGATGCGGCAGTTCTAGTCTGCGCACGTGGAGTGGGAATGAACTGAAGTGGACTCGTTACAGCAAATAGGTTCAAACAGAAGAACCGTGTTCATGATGACGCAGGACCAGGCGGTGTTTTGTTCTGTTGTACGTAGTCTCTATGAATGAAAAGCGACTCGACAACACCTAACTACAACAACAACATATCGCCTAGGTTACTTGAGAAAGTTAAATGATGTCATCGCTATCAGTGCTAATCACAAGGTAAACTCTAGCTGAAATTACCATCACTGTTAGCGATCAGGTGAGAAACAATATTCCCAACATTTTTCTTTCAAACTTAGTAATTTGTTTAACATCATATCCAAGCAACCAACATATATCCAATCTATATCCAAGCAACCAACATATATCCAAGCTATATCCAAGCAACCAACATCATATTCAAGCTATCGCATCAAGTAATCAAGCAAATAAAATTGTACTTGGTAAAGTTTAGACGAAAAGTTAAACAAGTTCAAATGCCATCTGGTGAGACCCACACACCCTCTGATCTGTATCACCAGAGCTCACCACTTTGACCCCCAGAAAAACACAGAGAAACTTTGTTTCTCTATTGACAGACAAATTAGGCTCCTGGTGGGTCCATGAGAATCAATGACACTGAGAAGTCCCCACTGCTCTAGGGAGAAGCTTAAAGGATGGAGACCCTAGGATCTTCATTCCCAACTGTCTGCACTTTCCAGTTCTCACTGATGCCGAAGCTAAGTCACTTAGGAGTGACTGCCTCAGGGCATCCTCAGGACTTAGCCATCCTGAGGGGGAAAGATTCCTCTCAAAGGCTACTTTTTCTCTGTATTCTTCAAACACATAAAAGAGAAACCTGTGGAATATTGAGGGGCAGGGGGATCAAAAGAAGTGCAATTGCTTGTGACCCCACTGCAGACAGAATGTCCTCCAGCGTAACAGAGAGGGCTCATTACATGGTGGCTCGGAGGCTTCTCTGTTCTCACCCTTGGCGGTCAGTGCATCTGGATTACCCAGGTTTTTATCCTGAAGGAAAACTCTTATTTGGTAGTATGTTATGTATCCCAAGGCAAGACATGATATATATTTAAATCTCTAAAAAATACAGTTCATACATAAGAAATTCCTTTGGCAAGAGTCAGTCAACTTATTCCACCACCACTCCCTTCTGCTTAAAAGAGCAGGTAAATCTGCTTACATGAATCTTCTGCTTCATTCCAAGAGGGAAGCCCCAAGCCTGTTGCTTGGACATTGGATTCCCGCTGACTTTACTCTGTAACCACACTGCAGAATACAAGATCTCCATCGGGCTTTCTTGTCTATCGTTTTCCCATAAACAGAGCTCACCAGTCCCTGTTTGTGGCACTGCTCAGTGGGTTTGAACTCTTTGGGTTAATTGTTGATCACAAAGCATCAGCACCACCTAGAGACGTTCCAAATTCTATATACCAAAAGACAAAAACAAGCTCCTGGCTAGCAAGTCAATTCTGACTCCTAGCGACCTTAAAGGACAGAGTAGAACTGTTCTTGTGGGTTTCTAAGACTGCAGCTCTTTATGCGAGTAGAAAGCCTCATCTTTCTCCTGAGGAGCAGCTGGTGGTTTCGAACTGCTGAACTTGCGGTTAGGAGCCCAAAGTGTAATCCATCACACTACCAGGGCTCCTAAATTATGTATTCATATGTATATTTTTCCCCAGTGTTTAAACTTATACTTTCTACTTTGTTCTTATTTTGGCTTTACGACGACTTTCTCATTACCCACTGATGATATGTTCAACATGATCTAATAAAGGTGGTTTCCATCTTTTGCCATTAACATCACACATTCTCTTTAATTTGTTTTAAATCCTGGTAAAAAGCAAATTCTGTTGGCCTTCTCAAATTATATCCCTAGTAGTAGTAACTCAACCAAAATGATTTAGAACATAGCTGATTTAAACTTGCTAACTAAATGAATATTTTACATATATATATTTTATATATGTATATATCAAAGACTCTAAAAAGAATTCAGCAGTACATATTTGTAAGTGTGAGTCATTTTATAAGACACACACTTAGT